CTGGAGGTTCTTCGGCTGCAGAGGGTGCTGCTGCCGAGCGTCCCGGAGGTGCTCGTGCTGTGGGTGCTGGAGCTGCTGGGTCTGAGGGTTCTCCTGGAGCTGGTGCTGCTGAGGGTGTTGGCGCTGAGACTACCGCTGACGGTCCGACTGGCAGTGCTCCTGGTGGTGCTGCTGGAGGTTCTGGAGCTACTGGAGGTGCTACTGGAGGTGCTGCTGGAGCGGGTACTCCTGCTGGGGGTACTGGTGCTGTCCCTGCTGTTTCTGGCGTCGCCACGCGGCCCCGACCGTACTTCGTTCCGCTCCTGCAGCAGGTTCTTGGTCTTACACCTTCTCCTGGTCCTCCTCCTCCTCCCTTAGAGGGTCCACAGCCTGTCTCGTCACAGTCACAGCTACAGCCTGCCTCCCCTTTGCCTGCTCCTTCTCCCTACGCTGGTCCGACTGGAGGTCTTACTGAGCGTCGTGAGCCTGCGTCTCGTCCTGCGTCGCCTGTTCGTACTGCGCGCACTAGTGGTCGCGGTTCGCGTCAGCGTCCTCCTCCTATCCCTGGCACGCACCGGATGTCTCTGCGTCCATCCACTGCTCCTCTGCGTGCCCTTTTGCCTTCTCCTCCTGCTTCCTCTCTTCCTGCTCTTGCCGACCCGGAGTCGGACTCTCTTCGTGCTGCCAGTCCTACTGTCACGCGTCTCCTTGCTACTGCTGTCACTGACCCTTCTTTCGAGTCTTCTGCTGCGTCTGCCCTTGTCACTGAGCTCGTCGACTTTGCTGCGCGCTGTCGTCTAGACTACGCTGCTAGTCTTGTCGCTGAGTCTGAGTCTGCCTGTCCTCCGTCCGTCGGGGGTGAGTGTGCCCTTGGCACGGACGTCCTTGAGGACAGGCAGGAGGAGTTCCAGTGTCTGGCCGCCGCTTCACCTCATCTCGCGTCTGTACTGCTAGCCCCTGAGGGAGACCCGGATGCACTTGACATCCCGACTCCGCGCTCTTACGCGGAGGCGATAGAGGGTCCCTACTCCTCTCAGTGGCAGGCAGCTATGGATGCAGAGATGGCTTCCTGGAAGTCCACAGGCACCTACGTTGACGCTGTTCCCCCTCCTGGGGCGAACATAGTCAGTGGCATGTGGATCTTCAGGGTGAAGCGGCCACCGGGTTCTCCGCCTGTCTTCAAGGCGCGTTACGTGGCTCGTGGCTTCAGTCAGCGGCAGGGGGTTGACTACTTTCAGACCTTCTCCCCCACCCCGAAGATGACCACTCTTCGGGTACTGCTACACGTTGCTGCTCACCGTGACTACGAGCTGCACTCTCTCGACTTCAGCACAGCTTTCTTGCAGGGCAGCCTGCACGAGGAGATCTGGCTGCGTCGCCCACCTGGCTTCACTGGGTCTTTCCCTCCTGGTACCCAGTGGAGTCTCCGGTGTCCAGTCTACGGTCTCCGCCTGGCGCCACGTGAGTGGCACGACACACTGAGGACTACGCTTGCGGCACTCGGGTTTGCTCCTTCTACTGCCGACCCGTCACTGTTTCTGCGCACCGACACCTCTCTGCCGCCGTTCTACATCCTCGTGTACGTCAACGACTTGGTCTTTGCCACAGCTGACACTGCTGGACTCGCCTACGTGAAGTCCGAGCTGCAGAAGAGACACACGTGCACTGACCTGGGTGAACTGCGCAGCTACCTTGGCTTGCAGATCACCCGGGACAGAGCACGCCGCACCATTACCCTGACTCAGTCACACATGGTGCAGCAGGTCCTTCAGCGCTTCGGCTTCACGTACTCCTCGCCTCAGGCCACTCCTCTGCCTACTCGCCACTCGCTCTCAGCTCTGCCTTCGGATGAGTCCGTAGAGTCGAGTGGCCCGTATGCAGAGCTTGTTGGCTGCCTCATGTACCTGATGACCTGCACACGACCTGACCTTGCATACCCTCTTAGCATTCTCGCACGCTATGTTGCTCCTGGGAGACACCGACCAGAGCACATGGCTGCAGCGAAGAGGGTGTTGCGCTACTTGTGCAGTACGTCGGGCATAGGGCTAGTGCTTGGAGGGCGCAGTCCAGTGGTCCTCACTGGGCACGCGGACGCTTCTTGGGCTGACGACCAGGCTACGCAGCGGTCGTCACAGGGTTACTCCTTCAGCCTTGGTTCCGGCTCTGTTTCGTGGCGGGCTACCCGCTCGTCTTCTGTTCTCGGCTCCAGTTGTGAGGCTGAGATCTACGCCGGGGCTATGGCTGCACAGGAGTTACGCTGGCTCACCTACCTGCTGACCGACCTTGGAGAGCCGCCTCGTTCTCCTCCAGTCCTGTACGTAGACAACAAGGCCATACTGGCCTTGTGTCGAGAGCAGAGACTGGAGCACAGGACAAAGCACATTGCTCTCCGCTACTTTCTTGCTCGTGAGCTACAGCAGCGTGGACAGTTGCGACTTGCGTACGTGGCCTCTGAGGCCAACACTGCTGATGTCTTCACCAAGGCACTTGCGCCTTGTGATCATCAGCGTTGTTGCACGCAGCTGGGTCTTGTGCTTGTCTTGCCTCACTTGCTCACTTCTTGACCTTGCTTGTACCTTCACCTATATATACTCTTGCTCTTGCTTGCTTGACTCTTGTATATCTCTTATATGATCTTGCTTGTGAACTGGCCTTCTGGCCTTTGAACTTGTGCTCGGAATGTGTGGTGACTTTGTGATCCACCCTGAGCTTTGCTTTGCTTTGCTTGACTGGTCTTGTGACCCCTTGTTCTCCCCCACTTTGCCTATGGGGGTGTGTCACAACATTATAGCTTACTTATTTGTGTAGGCTATAGTGGGGTATCCCATAGGGGGTACAACCCAACTAGGGTTTCCTATTTGTACTCTCTTCATTCATAGTTTATTCATTCTCGTTCTTTCTTGCACATAGACTACATAGTTACATAAATGTCTGATGTCGTAAAAATTTGTCTGAGCGGACATACTAACTTAGAAAATCCGTCTGAGGCAAAGACCATCAGGAAAATCCTCCATATGAGGGCCAGACAATTTTTTTTTTTTTTTGGAAAACGTCAGACGGGCGTAAAAGTTAGCAAGAGACCTGCCTTAGAGTACATAGATAGTCTATGTCTTTTCGTATTCCCCTGTACTCTTATATAAACCCGATGTATGCATGCTTTTATCAATTCAGTCATTTACATTCACTATGACCTAAGATTCAAAGTTCCGCTACAATACTACTTTGCGATCAACCCTGAGCGATCCTTCGCTAAGTCCCACTTGGGATTGTAACAGGAAGACACAAGCTGAGTCTGTTTGTGTCTTCCGAACCTCCAATTTCGTGTATTACACGGGATACGAATGTACCCTTAATATAGTGCTCTGCCACCAATGTTCTTCAACGTTTAGCAATTCAATGATGAACTAATCACGCGTGTGAATTGATTCTATATGACATAAACGCATCGCTCCCAACCTTCTACGTGAACGTACCGAGCTGGTGCACAATCGCGGGTGCATCAAACGAATATGTGGGTGTATCAGCTTTCCAGGCCGTTCTGTAGTTCGTTTGAACCTCCAGCTGGACACTGGGCTGGTGTGGGCTTGAGCAGGTGACTCAAGAAATACTGTGTAAGGGGCCCCATGGATTCCGCGCCGCAGGTAATGTTTGTCCGCAAAGAAAATAACATTTGCAAATTTTGATTATGGGAAACGACAATAAATGACAGCTTGGCGACACTTTCAGGGTGTTACCACTTCGTACGTTCTCGAGACACGACAGCAGTGTAGCAGTAAGACCGCACTCCTTGCCGACCCCTTGCCACTACTGGTCACTCTATGTATTACCTGTCTCAATCACAGCAGTTCTCCAAGTGCAGCTACAAAACACCTTGTGCATTTGTTTTATTACACTCGATTTGCTGTTTTCAAACGGTCGCTTCCTTCGTTCACACACATCTTACGGCCCCCCTTACAGTACAGTACGTACTCTACAGAAGGTCCACTCTCCTCTCCCTTCTTCCCCACCTGCTCATTGGGCCTTGAGCGGTCTTCATCGGACACACTACGTGTACATTTCCCTCCCTCCCTACCAACGTGTTTCCCATCCCTACAGTTGGTTTCCTCTCCGCGTGACTGTCTCGAGAGCTCACTTGATTGGACTCATCAATTCACCTGACATCCACCCTGTTACTCCAAAGCAAGCACCCTATCAGTTGCCCAGTTCTCACAGAAGTGTTTCTCAGGGTCCGTTTTTTCTACTCTGTGATCTCGTTGTGCAACCTTTGCTCATCAAGCCCCACCACACAACTACTGCGGTCTAGTGTTCTCGACATCGTCTCCAGAATGGAACGCTGGCTGCGGTCAAGCCGCGTTGTAGCATCCTCCCTCGTAATCTTCGTCCTCCTTTCTGTCACCTCGATCCACACCACTTACGCCGATGTCTGCCCGAAATTTACCTGCGGCGAAGGTAAATTCCTTTACGGAAAGTTCACCGACCGCGTCGACCCGCTGGAAGAGCCCGAGCCGCTGGTGGAAGCGTATTTCACAGGTGGCCAAATGTATAACTACGACTCGTACAATATCAGCGACGAAACGATCGCTGACGCTAACAGCGACTGCTACAAATTTTGCTCGGGATGGAACTCGAAACGCAAGCCGGGCGATGTGAAGGCTAAGTACTGGATGTTCGAGGAGACGTGTCTGGAGGCGACGGGCGGGATTTGCACGTGTTTCGCGTCGACGCAGTGCAACGGCCCGAACTCGTACAGCAGCAAGTGGATGGAGGAGGGAAGAAGGGTTAATGGCGACTACGAGGTGCCGGCGAATTTCACGGCGGGCGAGCTCTGCGAGCCGGGTCATAAGGGCGACCCGCATTTCAGCGGCGCGGACGGCTCGCACTTCGATTTCAGCGGCAAGCCGAATCGGAATTATGCGATCGTCTCGGATCTGCATTTGCAAGTGAATGGGTATTTTGGAGGGAGGTACACCGCGTGGGGATCGAGGCTCAAGGCTTTGACGTGGATCCGTGACGTCAGCGTGATGCACGGGCACCACACGGTGCTTCTAGAAGCGCGCAAGGGGCCGGATTTTGAATACAGCAGCGGGTACCTGGCACGAGTGTTAGTCGACGGGAAACTCGTTCAAGTTAAGGCGCCTGGAACGTCGCTGACTCTTTGGGAAGGAGCTACACTCACCTGGGTCTACGCGCGGCAGCAAAACGGAGACGACTATGTCGATGTTTTCGATCTTGCGGTGGACGGTGTGGCGACGATTCGGCTGACTTTGCGGCCAGAGGTGGAGACATGGAGAACGCCGAAAGACGGCACGGTGCATTTCGGTCTGGAGGTGTTGAACGCGCATTTCTCCCCCGCCGTGCATGGCGTCCTCGGTCAAACATACCGCCAGGACTTCGCCGGAAGACTGTAAGTTGCAACATCTTCCTGCTTCTTTCAATCGTCTCGCAGTTCCGTTTCGACTTTTTAATCTGTGATGTCATCTGCTGTTTTGAGGCTCGTGAATTACGTTGCTCACCTTTTCCTGTCTTGGACCATTTTGCTGATGTATCTTTTTTTTTTTTTTTTTTTTTTTTTTTTTTTTTTTTGGCTCTGCAGTGCTGAGCAAAAGCTGGAGTGGAGCGACCTTCTCCAAGTGATGGCTGTTCAAGGTGACAATGCCGAGGGGTTCTTGTACGGAGGAGTTGACGACTACCAGGTGTCGGGCCTTCTGAAATCGGATTGTAAGATGTGCACGTTTACCCGAGCGGAGACTGTTGACAAAGAGACCACCATTGCGCTGGCAATGATGGGAGGTGTTTCAGGAGGTGGTATTTCTGCCACCACTCCAAGGAAAGCGCTCAAACCTATCGCTGTTGCTTCTGGGGATGCGTCCAGTTAAAGCCGTGATTGAATTATCAAAGGTTTATGACTACTTCTGGGTTCCAGCGGAGAAAATTTGGCGTGATCAGTGGTGCACTAAAGTCAGGGATAGGTTAACGCTTCCTGCAAGCTGGAAGTGGTTGTGTCTGTATGCTGGTTCTAAAATATGAATGTGTCATCATACTAATAAACGTTTAGGGTTTCGGGTATGCATAACACAGTACTTACAAGCAAGCCTTGCATGAGATAGGACTAGGAACGCAGAAGTGGGCAAAATTCGCCTCAGGCCTGATAATGTCATGAGTGTTAAAGCCCGGAGTCTGCAAGGTAATTATCAAGTTATGTGGGTTTGAAATAGTGTTGGCAAGACCTTGAAAACAAGAATTTCGGCCAAGTCAGTGAAGCCTGCTTTCTTATTCTTATCAATTGGCATCGTTCTCATTACAAATGGGCGCTTGAAAATCGAGAAGCGTGGGTGGAGGGAAATGAACTCCAACCCACGGTTTTTGTAGTTGGAGAAGGGCGTTTAGCGCGCTTCGACGATGCCAATTGTGCAGTACAAGCAGCTTCGCTTTCACAATACACAATTTTAAAAAACACAATGTGTGTTTAAAAATTATAATATTGACGAGGGGGAAAGGGTGTCAAATGTTGTAGCCTGTAGTGAGGTTTGTCTTACGGGGTACAGAAGTTAGGGTTTGTTATATGTACCCCATCCACCATCAATGGAACCATTCATTCCTCATTCTGACATGGTATCAGCTAGGTTAGGATCCTGTGGGATCCCGTTCCTCCGTTCTCCGTTTGTACCTCGCGAGCCTGATCCTACCTCTCGTTCGTACCAGTTCCGTTGTTACCGCGCCTAGTACCGAGCCTAGCGCCCTTTCCCCCGTCGCTTAGCGCCCTTTCTCCCCGTCGCCTCGCGCCCTTTCCCCTCCCCCCGTCGCGTCGCGCCCTTTCCCCCCGTCGCGTCACGCCCTTTCCCCCCGTCGCGTCGCGTCCGTTCCCCCCGTCGCGTCGTGCCCGCCTGTTCCCCCCCCGTCCCGTCGCCCTGTCCCGTCGCGTCACCCTACCCCGTCGCGTCGCCCTGCCCCGTCCCGTCGCCCTGCCCCGTCGCGCCGCCCTGCCCCGTGGCGTCGCCCTGTGCCGTCGCGTCGCCCTTCCCCGTCGCGTCGCCCTGCCCTACGCCCTGGCCCGTCGCCCTACCCTAGGCCCTGGCCCGTCGCCCTACCCTAGGCCCTGGCCCGTCGCCCTCCCTAAGCCCTGGCCTGTCGCCCTACCCTAAGCCCTGGCCAGTCGCCCTACCCTAGGCCCTGGCCCGTCGCCCTACCCTAGGCTCTGGCCCGTTGCCCTCCCTACGTCCTGGCCCGTCGCCCTAGCCCGCTCTTCCGCTGCAACTGAGTCCTCTTCCCCCCCGGTTCTTACTCGCCTGTTCGTTCGCTTTAGTTCTCACTATGGCGACTCCGCGAGTTCTTCGTTTCGACGCTGACCGTAGACCACTTGACTTTTCCGTCTGGCTTCTTCGCGCTCGCCGTCTGTTAGAGAGTCAGGTCCAGGGGGGCGAGACCCTCTGGTCACACGCTACTGGTGACCTCCCCGAGCCCCCCGAGCCTACAGCTTTAGGCCCTGCTCCTGACGACGCTGCTACGGCTCGCTTTGCCCGTCAGCGCGCTGACCGGACGGCTTGGACGTCGCGTGACGCTGCGGCCTGCATCGCACTCAGCAGCCTCCTCCCTGAGTCTGAGGAGGTCCACTTTACTCAGGTTCGCACCGCTGCTGCGTACCTCACTGCGATTAAGGCCCGCTACTCTACTCCCGCTACTGTCTCTCTTGGCCGTCTTTTCCTCCCGTTCCTGTTTCCTGATCTTGCATCGTTTGAGCGCTCTGCTGACTTGATCGCTCACCTCCGCTCGCTCGACGCTAGTTACCGCGCTGCTTGCACTGAGGCACAACTTGCACTGCTTCCTCCCCCCATGGCGATCACTGTCTATTTCATCGCCACTAGCCTCCCTGACCGCCTTGCCTCCGTTCGTGACGCGCTTCTGCTGAAGCACCCTAGTGAGCTGACTATCGAGGTCCTTGAGTCTGCACTCAAGGACGTCGAGAGCAACCTTCGTTCGGTAGCTGCCGCCTCTGGTACTGTGTCCCCCCCACTCTTCCACGGGTGCACAGTCCCGCAGTTACCCACCTTCACTGCCTCTCTTGCCACTGCCGCTACTGACGCGACTGCGGCTGCTGTTACGACTGCGTCGCGGTCCCGCGGCAGGGGGGGCAAGAAAGGTGGTTCCGGTGGAGGTGGAGGCGGAGGTAGCGGAGGTAGTGGGGGTGCTGTTGCGACTGGCGGTGGTGGGAGTGCAGCGTCTGGAGAGACCCCTCGTGCAGCGGCTGGTGACTCCACTGCACCTGCTGGTGGCGGCGACCCTCGAGCTCGTCAGTCGCCTCCTGTACTGCCGGCCCCGCTAGGTGGAGCAGCGGCGTGGTACCAGGCTCAGCGTCAGCAGCACCTTCAGCAGCAGCAGCAGCCCCTTTCCTCCCAGCAGCCTCAGCAGCAGCAGCGTCAGCAGCTGGCTCCGGGGTCGGGGCTGCGTCAGCCCCAGCGCGGTGCTGCTTACCCTCCCTGCCCCTACCAGGTTCAGACAGGTCCTCGTCGGGGCCACCCTTGTGGCCGCTTTCACCCCCCTGGTCAGTGCTTTGCTCAGCTCACTGACACGGTCCGGTTGACCTACGGGGTTGGCGGTCCTGCTCCTGACTGGCTTCCTCTGGTTCAGCGCTACGGCTCCGCTCTGTGGGGCATGTCTGCTGAGCAGTTAGTTGATCTGATTAGTGCTCCTCATGCTATGTATGCTGTTGTTGACTCTAGTGTTTCTGACTCTGTTTACTCTGGTGTTGTTAGCTTAGGTGCTAGTCTTGCTCAGTTGCCTGTTGCTAGTGTAGGTACTTGTGTAGACTCTAGACCAGCGACTACCTCAGACGACGCTTCGCTGTCGTTCACACTGGACTCTGGAGCCTCCCACTGCTTCTTCCGGGACAGCACGACACTTACACCACTTCCTGCGCCTGTTTCTGTAGCGTTGGCTGATCCCACTACGGGACCAGTCACTGCACGTCACACTACCACTTTACCGTGTCCTGCTGCTCCCTCCGGGTCTCTCACTGGGTTTCACGTCCCCTCGTTCTCCCGGAACTTGGTGGGCGTGTGACCCCTCGTGAGTCAGCACGTGGGTGTGTGGTTTGAGCCTTCTGGAGAGACTGCGGTGTGTGTTGACGGAGACTCTTACCAGCCTCTTGCTACCTTTACTGCTGAGTCGGGCTCGGGTCTCTACACTCTTCACACTGGCCCGCGTGCGCCGCAGCAGCAGCCGCAGCAGCAGCAGCAGCCGCAGCCGCAGCAGCAGCAGCAGCAGCAGCAGCACCAGCGGCCGCACCAGCAGCCCCACCTACTGCCACTGCCCCCGGTTCCCCCCCCCGTTCGGGTCCCCGCGTCTCACCAGGTTGCTTCGTCCCCCCAGGTGTCTGTGTCGTGTCAGGTTCCTACGTCTGTTCCAGTCGCTGCGTCGTGCTCCTGCCGGTCGCTTGCCCACCCCACCGTTCTGTGGCACCACCGGATGGGGCACCCGTCCCTTCCTCGTCTGCGCGCTATGTCTAGTCAGCGTCTTGTCCTAGGCCTCCCACGTGTCTTGCCGTCGCTGCCGCCTTTGCTTGCGCCGCCGTGTCGTCCCTGCGTCGAGGGTAGGCTGCGCGCCACCCCTCACTCCTCCTCCCTTCGTCCGGCCACCGAGCCTTTTGAGACGCTTCACTTGGACGTCTGGGGCCCCGCCCCTCGTCTAGGCCCTGAGCGTGAGCGTTACTTTCTGGTGGTCGTTGACGACTTCTCCCGCTACACCACAGTGTTCCCTATGGCGAAGAAGTCTGAGGTGACTTCTACGCTGATCAGGTGGTTGCTCACCACCGAGGACACTCGTGGTCTTCGTGTCAGCTGTCTCCACTCCGACCGTGGGGGTGAGTTTCGCTCCGGCATTCTCGCTGGATTCTGTCGCGAGCAGGGCATTCGTCAGTCCAGGACGCTTCCAGAGTCCCCACAGCAGAATGGGGTTGCTGAGCGCCGCATAGGCCTGGTCATGGAGATCGCCCGCACCTCCCTGACTCACGCATGTGCCCCCCATTTTATGTGGCCCTACGCGGTCAGGTACGCCGCGCACCAGCTGAACCTCTAGCCACGTGTCTCTCGACCAGAGGTTTCATCGACCAGTCTTTGGACAGGGTCCCCTGGTGTTGCGTCGCGATTTCGTGTCTGGGGGTGCTTGGCTCTTGTCCGCGACACCTCCGCGGACAAGCTCTCGCCTCGTGCCGTCCCCTGTGTCTTCCTTGGTTTCCCTGAGGACTCCTCTGACTTCACCTTTTACCACCCTCCCTCTCACCGGTTCTTTGACTCCCGTGACGTCCGTTTCGAGGAGTCCACTCCGTACTACGTCAGGTACCCCAGTCGAGGTCTCCCGGTTCCTCCTCCCCCCCTCTTCCTGACTCCCGGTACAGCCTCCCCCCCCTGGCCCAGCCCCGTCAGGTGTGTCCCAGGCTACCCCTCCTCCTTCGGTAGCCCCTCCGGTACAGCCTCCCTCCCCACAGTCCTCCTCGCAGCGTGCCGCTGGTGCTAGCTCTCGAGAGGTTGGTGCTGCGCCTGTTCCTGTACCGGTTTCTGGTTCTGGGGGTGCTGGAGTTGGAGCTGGTGTTGGAGCTGGTGTTGGAGCTGTAGGTGGAGCTGGTGTTGGAGCAGGAGGTGGAGCTGGAGGAGGCACTGGAGTTTCTGGTTCTGGGGGTGCTGGAGTTGGAGCTGGAGTTTCTGGTTCTGGAGTTGGAGCTGACCCGGTGGGTGCAGAGGACTCTTGTCGTCCGGGAGCTGGTGCTGGCAGCGCGGACACTGGGGGTGCTCCCTCTGGGGGTGAGAGTGCGCCTCCTTCGGGTTCTGGTGAGCCTGGGTCTAGAGCTGGTGTTAGTGCTGCCTCTGGGGGTGGTGCGCCTGGT